GGTGGAAAGCATAGGCAGTTAGCAAGACATCCCCAATAAAGGAGTGGCTCTGCAGGTGGTGACCACAGACCACTTCTCAGTTCCTATGCTTTCTGGATGATGGTTTGGTCACCTTTGAATGCTGGCGGTGCTTCCAATGGTGTGGGGTGCCTCCCCTCTCCCCAAAACAATCTTATCTCCTTATCCCATTGTTATAGTCCCCGATTTATGACTCCAACCAAGCCCAGAATTTTGGTTGCTACGTGAGTTGTAAAGTGGAGTGGTGCTCTACTTTACAACCATTTGCCACAGTTGTTAAGTGAATCAGTGCAGTTGTTAAGTGAATCTAGTGTCGTCCCCGTCCCCCCCCCATTGTGAAGTTGGCTGAAATTTGGGTTGGAAGAAATGGATTAAGTAAATTTCCCAGGCATTAAAATACAGGTAATCCTCGACTTATTTATTTAGTGGCCACTTGAAGTTACAAAGGCACTGAAAAAAAACTGACTTATATCATTTTTCACACTTATGACCATTGCAGGATCTCCATGGCCATATGATTAAAATTCAGATGCTTGGCAACTGACTTGTATTTATGACCGTTGCAGTGTCCCAGGGTCATGTGATCACCTTTTGCGACCTGACAAAGTAAACAGGAAGGACAGATTCACTTAACAGCCATATTACTAACTTAACCACTGCAGTGATTCACCCAACAACGGTGGCAAGAAAGGTTGTAAAATGGGGCAAAACTCTTTAACAACTGTCTCACTTAGCAACCAGAGATTTTGGGCTCAGTTGTGGTCGGAAGTCAAAGGCTACCTATAACTGCCAGGACAGTTTATAATGGCTAGACTCCATAAGATCCATTTTTGAAATCCTGTTTCTAAAAAAGTTAACACTTGTGATAGTCCTTTTTCTCCCCAACTGCTGCTGCTGAGGCTACATTTTGAAGCGAAGTTGAGGGATTCTAGTTTAAAGATGCCCACCATGTCACAAGAAATCCAAGCGGAGTTCTCGAGCCAACACGCAAGCATCTGATTTGCACATAACTTCGGCTTCTTGAGAATCAAACCATGAGCTGAAATAATTGATTCCCAGGTTAAATGCTGGCTTCCAAAGAAGGCTGTAGTCCAAGTGTAGCTGTAATCGAATTTGTTTATTGTCACAGCAATATGTTGCAGCTGAATATAATAATAAATGAGCGCAGCATCGCATTAGTTTTCTTGCTGTGTGAAGTATGGTAGTAGCTTCACTCTCCTGTCCCCCAATTATGTTGTCATTGCTGCAGCTGTACGTTGTGCCCCCTCCCTAATGCTTACCCCATGTTAGAACTGCAATTCCCAGAATCCTAGTCATCATGGCCATCGCCAGAGAATTCTGGGAGTTCTACTCCCACTGGAGTAGTCTCTCATTGCATTGCAAGCCTGCATATTTCTCGTGGGCGTAATAGTTGCTTGGAACTTTGGCAGCAAAGGTACTGAAGATGGGTTTCTGAGTCATTTGTCAAGAGGCCATATCTTCTTGGCAGGAGTGGCAGCATGTTCCTGTTCATTCCCTTACACATTGCATTACGAGCCGGCCACCTGATTCCTTCCAGATATTTGGATTTGACAGCTCTTCTCGTTCGTTGCCTTTGGTAGTGCTGATAGGGTTGGTGAGAAGGGTTGAAGTTCTGAAGTCTTGGCAGGATTGCATTGAGGCTATTTTTAGTATACTCTTTTTCCAACCGCCCCCAGGCCCATTTGCTATGTATGTTCACAAATGTTTTCAGCTGAATTTTGCTGACCAAATAGCATTCTGACCAAATGCTAGGGCCGGTTCTGATTTACAAAATTGGAAAGCATTTTGTTTTTCCATGTTTTTTTTTTTTACTTCTAGTCTTCTAATCATCAGTTAAGATTATGGTCTCGCTTCTGTTTAAGGCCTCTTTCTAAGCGTCTGTCGGAATAGGTTTCATTCCACCACCACCCCCAGCAAACTGTAATTCTGTTACTGTGATTGTCCAGTATAATTTAGAGCTGTTATTACAATCTTCCCAACTAGAAGGATGTGGGTGTGTTTTGTTTCCACAGTGTTTGCTTTTAGTTGGAGGATGCTGTTTCCCCTGCTTTCCATTAAAATTTGCCTATGATAATGTTACTTCTTCTAACCTAAAGTATGTAGGTAGAGCTTGACTTACAACAGTTCGTTCAGTGATTGTTCAAAGTTAAAACGGCACTGCAAAAAAGTGACTTATGACCGTTTTTCACACTTCCGACTACTGCAGCATCCTCATGGTCACATGATCAAAATCCAGATGCTTGGCAACTGACTCATGACAGTTGCAATGTCCTGGGGGTCATGTGATCCCCTTTTGAAACCTTCTAAAACAGCCATCGCCCATCGGTGGGGCAGGGACCACTGCTGATCTGCAAGAAAATTTTGGTGGTCTACAGAGAAATGTCACCCCCAAACAATTAATCCAGGCTGCATGGGAACACAAGGCTGCACCACCCGCATGGCCCGTGGGAACGCAAGGCTTGCGTTGCTTGCATTGTGAACAACACGTAGTGAGGGGGGAACGGGTGGGTGGGGGAATTTGCCCCACTTGCGCCTGGCCATCGGGCTGCTTCTTTCCGCTTCTTTCTTCTGCTTTTGTGTTGTGGTTATCCGGCAGCAGGTGCGGACGGTTGAGGAGAGCGAGGACTCAGATGAGGGGCCAGGACCATTAGGGACTGGACTGCTGTCTTCAGAGATTATGGGGGCTGGCAGCAGTGATGAGGTGGTTCCTGAGGAGCCTGTGCTAAGTGCGCGCAGGGCTGCTTGCAGGAAAGAGCAGCTGCAGCAGCATGGGCAACTCAGGAGTAAGGCTGCAAGGTAATGGCCCCTCCTTCAAAAAGATAAAAGCTAGCTCTGAAGCGAATGTTCTTTGTAGGAAGCAAAGACGTTTTGAAACTCCAGCCTCGTGGACATTGCAGTATCTTAAGTTGGTATTTGAAGACTCTTGTGTTGTAAAATATCTCTAGGTAACCTTATCTGTTATTCTTGGCAGCCTTGCACAGTTTTGGTGAGGCTTGTGCTTATCAAAGTTAATTAGTTTGCAGCAGCCTTTTAACCGGGGATTTGTAAGAATCATTGAAAGGTTTCTGTTCCCTTTGGTTCGTGTTTGTTTTATTGGAAAAGGGTTTGGGTCAGAACATTTTGGCTGCACGCAAGGAAAGCAGCGAAAGTGTGTCTTTCTCTCCCCCAAACTCCACCAGAAATGCGTCTTTGGGACCCTGCAAGGCATCCTACTCCAAGAGACTGCGCCAGCATGACCAGTCTCACAACGACTCAGTTCTGGCGGAGTTTGGGGGAGAGAAAGGGAGACTTCTGCTGTTTTCCTTGCATGAAGCCAAAAGTCTCTTTGAGAACAGAGCTGGAGACAGTATCCTGCGATCCCAAATAAAGAATCATCCCGGGATGACCAAAGGGCCAGTCCTGTGACTACTGCAGCTCTGGAATATGGGACCGACTTTCCCACCAACATCAGCAAGCCGCCGTCAGTCAAAATTCATATTAATGGTCCGCAGGATTTAAAATTATGAGTTTGGTGGTCCCTGAGGTCCAAAAAGTTGGTGACCCCTGCTCAGTCAATGGGGAAGCCACAAAATGCTAAACTCTTTAACATTATTATGGGATTTATATCATCATACATTATATATTTTATATACAGCCCAAGACAATTCCTGTTCAGTTAAGGAAAGCCGAAAGGATGGACACTCATGATTTACATCCATGTGTACTACAAATCTTACACAGTCTTCTCTGATTAGTAATTTTTTCTTTTCTTTGCAGGACAACAAAAAGGCATCTCACTTTCTATGATGGGACTAATTCCTGCCTCCCAGGAGTGTGCCATGTTTCTATGGCGGAACCTTTCTGTGCCAAAACAAGAGAAGTTAGTAGATCTTATATTACGGAAGTTAGCACACGTTGTCCTCAACTTACAACCATTTGTTTAGTAACCATGAAAACCATGCAAAGTTACCACAGCGCAAATGGCCTATGACTGTTTTTCGTACTTTTGATGGCTGCAGCATTGCCGCAGTCACACGATCAAAATTCAGGTGCCTGGCAAGTGACTCATATTTACGACGGTCACGCGGTCCCCTTTTTGCGAACTTCTGACAAGCAAAATCAACGGGGAAGCCAGATTCACTTCACAACCGCGTTATTTAACTTAACATCTACAAAGATTCCTTTAACAACGGCGGCAAGAAAGGTTGTAAAATGAGGCAAATTCCCTTAGCTGTCTCGCTTAGCGACAAAAACGTGGGGCTCAGTTGTGGTTGTAAGTCGAGGACTACATGTATAGGATTCAATCTGTGATTGAGCAATGAATGTTTTCCTTGTTGTTTCTGTTCCAAGTCCTTTCCCATTCTGTTAATGTAATACTCCGTCCGACATTCCTGCTCCAAGCTATCCTATTTCCTTTGACTATCTCTTGTTCTAGTTCTACTTCCAGTAAGTATTTGTAAAATTTAGTTATATCTGTTTTTGTTTGATCCTAATAAAATTTTATCTAAGTGCTGAAGTTTGTTATAAATTCCGAAATCTTTATTATCTTGTTTATATCTACTATGGATTTGGAGATATACCCCCTGATCAATTTTGAATCCTCGCTCTTGTAGTTCTTGTTGTGTTTTCAGTTTTCCTTGTGAATCTAATAAGTCTTTGTATTTGATCATTTTTGTGATGTCCAAATTGTTGGGATGAACCATTGCCTCCATTGTCGATAGCCAAATCGGTACTTTTAAATAGTGTTTTTTCCGTACTTTTTTCCAATTGGTTAATAGTGAATCTCTAATTAGGTGTCTATGAAAATATGACTGATTGGGTTTCCCCACTTCCCATAAGAAGGCGTGCCAACCTCTCTGCAACAATGAATGCTTTCCTAATATTCCTATTTTCCTACCATTCCGCTACTAATATATGCAGCTAGATGGATGCTAGATAACACATACAGCCTTTCCTCTTTGCTGTATATAATTGTGCTAGATGAATCTTGCACATGATTGAAAATTGCACTAAGGCTGATTCTCCCTTTAGTTATTTGTCATGTCAAAAATTATAGCAGTGAGATAGTTGGGCAGGTAGTAATCCCTAGTCATCTGGAGAAGGGACAGGGAGAACTACAGTCATAAAGACCTTGGAGGACCTTACATTACTTACTGCAATATTTCAGATTTAACAGATAATCAGAGTTGAAAGGGAGCTTGTAGGTCATCTAGTCCAACCCCCCACCCAAGCGGGAGACCCTACACCATTTCTGACAAATGGCAGTCCAATCTCTTCTTGAAAGAGATGGCGCTCCCACAACTTCGAAGGCAAGCTGTTCCATTGGTTGATTGTTCTCACTGTCAGAAAGTTTCTCAACTTTCAGTGAAATACTTGGGCAGTCAGTAATCTTTAGGTCAGTGTTTCTCAATCTTTGACATCTTTAAGAAGTGTGGACTTCAACTCCCAGAATTCTCTCACTAACAAGCTGACTGGGAAATGGTGGGAGTTGAACTCCACACATCTTAAAGGCGTCAAGGTTGGGAAAAACACTGAGGCAGAGATGACGGACTGCCCAGCTATCTCACGGATGGTTGAGAAATATTGCAGTAAGTAATGTAAGGTCTTCCGAGGTCTTTACGACTATAGTCATAAGGAGCCTCTGTGGCGCAGTGGTTAGAGTGCAGTATTGCAAGCTACTTCCGCAGCCAGCTGCCTACAATTTGGCAGTTCAAATGCCACCAGGCTCCAAGTCGACTCAGCCTTCCATCCTTCCGAGGTCGGTAAAATGAGAACCCAGATTGTTGGGGGCAATAGGCTGACTCTGTAAAGGGTTTAGAGAGGGCTGTGAAGCGGTATGTAAGTCTAAGTGCTATTGCTATAGTTCTCCTTGCCCCTTCCCCATTTGCCTATGTTGGTTGATTGGATGGTTGGTTGGTTTGGAAAATTTATATTGCCGCCTTCTCACTCATTGCAACAAAAGGCGCCTTACAGGATATAAAAACACAATATAAGAGAAAAATAAAAATAATAAAAAAAATAATCCCCATCCCGGCGTCAACACACATTCACTCATATCAACTATTTAACAGGCTCCATCCCACTCTGGGTTCCCCAGGCCCACTGGCAAAAGCACGTCTTCAGGGCCTTCCAAAAGAGTGTCAGAGTGGCGGCTAATCTAATTTCCCGAGGGATGATGTTCCAGAGATAGGGAGCTACCACGGAGAAGGCCTTTCTACGGGGCCCTACCAGATGTATCTCCCATGGGATGGGACCGGCAACTTTCCCTGCCTCCCCACTCTAGTGGGTCAGGGGGGTGTGATTGGCAAGAGACGGTCCCTCAGATGACCTCGTCCCAAGCCATGGAGGGCTTTAAAGGTGACAGCCAGCATCTTGGATTGTACCCAGAAGCAAATCGGCAAGTAAAGTCTGCACAAAATCACGTTGGCTGCTGCATTTTGCACCAACTGGAGCTTCTGGATGCTTTTCAAGGGCAGCCCATGTAGCATGTATTGCAAAAGTCAAAACAGGAGGTGATTAGGACATGAGTGTGAGTAGGGATTCACCAGCATTGCAGCTGCTACCTTGTTTCTGCAAAATCCAGAAGTCTCTTGTGACAACATAGAAAAAACTCTTGGTATAGAAGCCCAAAACATTGAATTTGCCATCCTGTATTAAAAGGACTCTGTAATCTTAAGTTTTGCCAGAACGAGTCTTAGGAAATATAAATTATATGAATTAAAGTGAATGAGATAATTAAATTAGGAAAGGATGGGAACATTTTAATTATTATTAATGATTTATAAAAATGTAAATGAGAAATATGGGGGAAAAAAGAATTAAATTTGGAAAGTTTATAAGTGTTCCCAAGGAAGTATGATATTTAATTGAAAAGAAATGTTAAAGATGTTAAGATTTTAATGAATATTAATGATAGAATTGAATTAGAATGGAATGTGTGATTTATTTACATATATATATAATCTTTTCTTTTTAAGAATATAGTGTGTATTTTAAGAATGTACCAACAGAATCCGATTGGAAGTTATGTATTATATTGAATGCTATAATCTTAAAGGTATACATTGAAGCTTAAATAAGAGTTTGAATGGATAAAATTAAAAGATATAAAGGTGTCATACTCTAATTAGTAACTACAGGGGAAAATTTGTTTAATGAGAAAAGATAATATGAAATCGCAACAGGACAGACAAAAGTATAAATATAATGATTTGAATTGAGATGAGATAATTAAAATAAAGTTGAGAAAATTAAAAGAGGGGAAAAACTATGTAGAAAATATAAAACAGTAATAAGATATGGAACAGAACATAAAAATGAGCATGAAATTGAGTTTGTGTCTGTATGAAGAAATGATAACCTGGGACCATGCTATTTCCAAAAAAAAGATATTTTATTTGTATTTTGTTTTTGTGAAAACCCAAATAAAATTTTCAAAAAAAGAAAAAGAAAACTTGGGATAGAAGCCCAAAGCATTGAATTTGCCATCTTGTATTAAAAGGACTCTGTAATCTTAAGCTTTGCCAGAATGAGTCTTAGGAGATATAAGGTAGTTTAGCTAAAGGACATTCTCCATACAGAAATCAAGAGCATCCAGAATTAGGCCTTAAGCACTGAGAACAAGCTGATCCTCAGCCTTGAAGAAATCGCCTTGCGGAAAAATTAATGGCCGTGATACAAGTCAGGAGGGGAAAAGCAAGTAGGGAGAGAACAGATATTTCAATCTTCCCTCTTTCAGAATCTAAAGTTTGTCAGAATTGTGAGGCGGCAGAGGGATTGCCTTATCCTGGCTTATGCCATCAAATGCTATAAAGTAAAGAGTGGATACAATGGAACCTCAGGTCGCAAACGCTCCCAGGTCATTATTCAAAAATTGGGTGGCGAACGAAGTCTGAACATTCCGCGTTGATTTCCCCTTCAGCGCCATTTCGGTCATGCTTCCAGACATGACCAAATCAGGTCTCGACCAGAGTCTGGGAATGGATTATGGTTGCGACCAAGGCTCCACTGTATATCCATCCATGTTTAGATTTTCAGCATGTTGAAATACGATTTACAGGCATTTTTGAACTAGAAAATAAAAATAACGTGAGAATTACATTTGCTTGAAGAAATCTTATGAAGTGAGAGATAGATAGATAGATAGATAGATAGATAGATAGATAGATAGATAGATAGATAGATAGATAGATAGATA